GCCCTGCCCCGCGCCCCGGCCCTTCCAAGAGGCTTTTCCTGCGGTTTTCCCTATTAAGTGGGACGCAGTCTGCATCTTGCCTTGAGTCTGGCAGCAGCAAGAACGACGATCGCTCTTTCTCAAGAACGAGAGCCATATCAGCTCCTGAGGAGGCTCCAGCCGCTGGTATTCGGTGGTTTTCATCTTACAGTCCATGGATCTACTTTTCTGGCTGCAAAGAGCTTTGCTTTCTTGAGAATAATGCAATCTGTTTGCCTTCGTCCTTCTGAAATGTATTAATATGCTTAGCTTACTACTGATAATGAGTGTGCCCTCACCCTTTACATTTACAGCACTACTCCTGCACAGGTTAAGAAATTTTTTTACAACGTACTTGCAAACATATTTGGGTGTTTGTGAAGCTTGAGCCACATCTGTGGAATATGCAAACATGAGCCAGAAAGTAAATACCCTTCAACATAAAGAGCAGCCAACCACGACCTGAGCCTGCAGCGAGGGCTGAGCCCAGCCCCACAGCACAGCCAAAGGTCCCCATTTCCAGCATGATGCTGCTGTCCCAAAAGTGCCATGCACTGCAGAGGTGGGACAGGCCCCCAGCACTGCAGAGGTGGCACAGGCCCCCAGCACTGCAGAGGTGGCACAGGCCCCCAGCACTGCAGAGGTGACACAGGCCTCCAGCACTGCAGAGGTGGCACAGGCCCCCAGCACTGCAGAGGTGGCACAGGCCCCCAGCACTGCAGAGGTGGCACAGGCCCCCAGCACTGCAGAGGTGGCACAGGCCCCCAGCACTGCAGAGGTGACACAGGCCCCCAGCACTGCAGAGGTGACACAGGCCCCCAGCACTGCAGAGGTGACACAGGCCCCCAGCACTGCAGAGGTGACACAGGCCCCCAGCACTGCAGAGGTGACACAGGCCCCCAGCACTGCAGAGGTGACACAGGCCCCCAGCACTGCAGAGGTGACACAGGCCCCCAGCACTGCAGAGGTGGGACAGGCACCCAGCACTGCAGAGGTGACACCGGCACCCAGCACTGCAGAGGTGACACAGGC